GGAGGTTTTATGGCTGAAGTCCAACAGCTTTAAGTGGTCTTCAAACAAAGCATGTTTTCTACTAACTCCCAAGTGAAAAACCATAGGCAGACAGAAAGAAGTTTTTTACCAAAGCAAAAAGAATTTTCCACTGCAAAACAACTTTCAGAGTTTACCATGTAATTACTAACTCAAATGATTCGTTAGTCACTAATATAGTATGGTAATTTTAGCAGTTTTGATAGGATATATGTACATGTAAAGGTATTGTGTATGATGCTGATTGGTTGTTATGCAATGATACACACAGGAAAAGAAAGAGATATAATGCACTGTCACCAGAACTAAGTGGGCTTCAGGACACAGGGCTTGCCTGTAGCCAGCAGCTGCAGGCTGACCCACGACCCCCTGCTGTAATCTAGTTGACAGAATAAACAGCATTCTAAAGAAGAGCCATCTGAAGTCCCCATCTCTCTGCTGGCTCTAACAGTTCTGCCCTCCTCCTGATCCTGTGCAGGGATGGGGCATTGCTGTGCTTTCAGGAAGCTGTTCTAGAAAGCCTCAGATATTCCAAGCTCCTTTGCTCTCTGTGGATCCTTGCCACAGAATCCCTCACAGCCGGGTTCAGGGCACACTCAGCTTGGGTCTTCCAAAATCCAAGGCCTTCAAGGTGCTCAGTTAAACCTTTAACTCCACAATGCTGTGGAACTGGACCTTCAGCACAGGGACCTTTCCAGCCCGATCTGCGCTCCTTCCTCTGCGTCTCTGCACAAAACACAGTGCAGGAGAGAACGGCAGGAGGGGCCTGTGTGTCACAGCGCTCTGGATTTGTGACCCTTCAACTCCACACAGATGCAGGTTTAGTGAAAAAGCCAAACTGTTTATTGATGGGATGCAAAGCAAAGGGATGAGATGAGGAGCAAAAAAGGGGATGGTCTGAGGGCTGGGGGATGGAGCTGTGAAAAGGGAGGGAAAGTGGAGGGAAAAAGAAGGGATGGGCAGTATCTAAGGGCCGCAGGGAGGGAGCTGTCAAAAGGGAGGGAGATTGAAGGGAAAAAGAATGGATGGGGAGTGTTTCAGTGGCGTAGGGAGGGAGCTGTCAAAAGGGAGAGTGAAGGGAAAAAGAAGGGATGGGCAGTTTCTGAGGGCTGCAGGGACAGAGCTATCTACAGGCAGGGAGAGGGCTGAAGCCGCGTGAGCTTCCCACAGGCTCAGCTGTGCCAGTTGTCAGCTGTGCCTGGAGCTCCAGCTGGTCTCTTCTGGTCTTAGCATAGTCTCATCTTCCATAGCGTCTTCCACGAAGACTGGATTCCTAAGCCAGCAGACGAGCATACCTCTGCAGCTTGTTCAGTTAATATCTGTTGGAGAACTTTGTTTCTCTGAGAAGGGTCGTCATCTCTTCTCAGAGCTTGAAGTGCTGGAAGAGAGGGGAACAGAGCCACGATCAGAGCCTGGATCTGTGGGAATCCTAGCAGAAAGTCCTGCCAGGGCCATCCCAGCCTGCTCTTGCCGTGGCCACAAGAGTTAAGGGGCCAACAAGATCAGCTGCAAGGTCCTGGTCACGAATCCACACTTCATCCAAATCCCTGCCCCATGTCCCTGAAATCTCTCTGTGATATTCCCACACCACCAAGGTGTGCACACAGGGAGAGAAGCCCTCTGAAGCCGGGGCACAGATTACAGCTCCCTGCCTGGGCATTTCAGATCCTCCAGTGCCAGCCCCTCACTGCCCACTGCCCTCACTCACCCTCGCTGAGGACCTGCAGCTCTTCCTGCGGCCCCCTCAGGTGCTTCCTGACCGTCCCTGGGAACACAGAGCCTGTCAGGGCCCCAGCGGCACAGCTCCCTGCCAGCGGTGCTGCCAGCCCTGTGGCCACACACCCTCCCGCCCCGGCAGGGCTCAGCCCGGGCCCTTGCCACATCCTGACTCAGCCCAAGGGCCTAGCTGCCAGAGGCCGGCAGCAGCAGCCCCGAGGGCAGCCGGGGCTCCAGGGCGCCGGGTCCGG